AAAGGCACCACCCAGAAAACGCCTATTACCACATATACCATAAGACAGGCTGCTTTGACTGGCAGTATTTTTTGGGGAGTCATCTCCTGTTTGCGCACCATTTTTTGTGCAAATACCGTTTTTTCGCGTACACGTGGGATAGTTTTTCACGCCATTGACGGAGGACATTAAAAGCCCAGGATTTCTTGAGTAATCGACGAAAACATTGCAGTTTTCCTTTTTTGTTCTCATAGTTTTTCACAATCCACACTACCGAAATGAGACAGTCATTAAAGGATCTAGGCCACTGCATTTCTCGTTTGGAATTTACTTGACGATTTAGGTCATACCTGCAGACTAACATGGAAATTGGGTATCACACTAAATGCCTGTTGCGAATGCCCCGTGACCAAATGAAGGAAATTCTCGATTGTAGACCTTCTTTATACCATGTGAAAGTCCATGACATTCTAATAAATAAAGTGCACTACAAGGGGACTCCAAAAAATGAAAATACACCATAATGAAGAGAAAATTAACGCAGTTAGGATAGTGTTTATGTACTCGACATTCCACCAACCGTTCTACGTTTCAATGTTTTTGATAAACCTTCGACAGGTTTCATGCATTTTCACTTCTTCAGAGCGTAAGTTGTGGTTAAATACCTTTAAATTTTCATTACACATTAACAAAGCCGAAAATTTAACTAAAGTCATTTAAGGCGTTTTCGGTCAAATGCCCGCTCTGAATTGCTGTAGACTTGTTGATGTTCTTGGAATGTTTTGACTAATCATGTTGTTGTTCTGCCCTCCCACAACTGCTGGCCTTCAACAAAATTATAAAGTAGTTGGTTATGAAAGTTAGTTATTATTATTATACAAGTTGGTTATTTTAGGTTCAGCTGTCACTGTTGGTTAGGGTGGAATGAAGGCAATTAATCAGCCATCCCAGTTATCTGCGATTCTTGAGCTTACTTCGCCATTTTTAAAAAGAAAATAATAGCGGCACCGACAGGCCTCAGATGTGGATATCTACTTCTTCAACAAAACCCAGTAACTCAGCCATATCTGAACTGCATGGCTCAAATTAAGTTCTGCGTTATGGGTATTCAATATTGTCATTATTAATTGCCGGAAAAAGCCCACTATTTTATCCATTTCCAATACAAAAAACAATAGTATTCATGGATAATATTCGATTTTTATATCTGGAATCAGTTTCAGTGAGGGTTGAAGTAGGCCGCTAAAACCATCCGCGCGGTAGATGCCTTGGACCAACATAAGGACCAGATCCCAGCACGCTAGGCGTTATTGGGGGTGTGCATGTCTAGCAAAAGCCACACATGGGAGGGATTGTGGTGGCACGACTAGGTGCGGCCTCTTGCCGCCTTCTCACCCAATCCTGCCTTATACGAAAGGCAGCCATCGTCGAAATTGAGAAACTGTGATTTAGTCTGAAAGCTCTGTAATCTCGCTTCTCACATTTTGCAAACAAACAGATGACTAATTTGTCTTTTCTGAATGTATGATCATGGAAAGTGCTGAGATGTCCCTGTTTCTTCAGCCCTTTGTATTCCCCAAGACAGCTAGTGTGAAAAGGGATGTGGGTATTACTTGTTCCGCAGTTTCGTATATGAATTGAGATATCCGACTGGTTGACCCTGCACCACGCTGTTTCGTCAAAATTTGGTACGTTTAAACAAAAAGTGGAATGTTCACGAAGTTTTCACTTTTGCGCTTTTTTCGTCCGAGAAACCCTCGCCTGGAGGTAAATTTGTCTCATTAGGGACATATCATTTGTTCTCAAGGCAGGTTTGTGAAATACCAATCTAAGTGTTTATTGAATTCTTCATGGCTGCCAATGACCGATATCGTGATTGGGAAGGAGACTGTATGCATGAGAACCAGGCTCACTGTCCAATTAAAGGGCAACTAAGACAGCGAAATCTGAGTGGAGGTGTCCTAATCAAACTTGTCAGCAAAATTATAAACAGGCTCGTTGAAACCGGCGAGAAGACGAATAAGGAAATCAACAACAGTGAGCTTCAAGTCTTTTACGGCGCAGTGCTTAATTAAAAGTGCTACTACGAAATGTGTTTCATCGCCTCGAACAATATTTCCTCGGGATGAATTTGTAGAAAGCATAGACGGCAGAATTTATTAGAACCAATAAAGTTCGCGACGGCTTATCAACTGCAGTCTGCCCTTGCATAATAGAGATGACAAATGGGAAAAATGCAGAGATTTGAACTTCACGGAGAAAATCAATATAAAACAGCAAGTTCATCGTAAACTGTATGCAGACTAATCAATAAAACGGTAACTTGAAAGACGCAACATAGGAAAGAAAACGGGGAAGTTAACACACAGATGGATTTCGACAATCAAGAGGTTCAGATATACTAGAACAAGCTGAGGTTAATCAGGTGGTCTATCTGTTTACGTAGGTTGGGTCCCTCCCGCGGTATGTAGGCTGCCTTCAAGTACAGCAATATCCGAGTTGTTTGTGCCGAACTTATGCTCAAAAAATGTTCTGGGGCTAACCGCATGACCGCTATCTAGGAGGTGCTTTGTGATAGAAGACCGTGGAATTTTATTTTCCTGCTTTAGAAGTTATCTTGGCGGGTGCTCAAATGACCTGGCTGCCAATTGCCTTTGCGTTCGCTAATTAACTTGCATCCACAAGTACACCCATTGCCTGTGGATCTTGGTGCTTCAGAATTCGAGTTTACCTGAATTGTATGTTCTTTCAATGGTGCATCTCAATCGCTGCTTGACAAGCCGTCGCGAACTTTATTGGTTTCAATTAATTCTGCTGTCTATGCCTGTTTCGTCTCTGTCGGAAATCACTAAAAAATCTAGTCTTAAGGTTTTAAACCTTTCTTCTGTAGCTGTTATCAAAACTGTGCATAATCGTGTCACCGCCTACATAATTTTTCAGCAGGACACGATGATAAGTAACCTAATTCATGGCAAATACCCTTGCGCTGTCTTTCAGGGCGGTACCTATTCCTGTGTATAAACATAAATCCAACAGTAGCCCTAACCCAACATTTTTACACTGGCCCTTGTCCACTGTCGGATTTGGTATGTGATTAGCTGTAATACGGGGAGGGACCTATTTCTGTGTCCTGCTAGCGTTTATTAGATGCCCTCAAACAAAGAACTACTTTTTACTCAAGGCGAATTAATACACTAAAAGCGTCAAACGAACATGATTCAACCTAGCACGTAAGTATGTCAGCTAAAACTATTTCATTAGGTAAAGAAGTATCACATTCATTTGGCGAAAAGGCACTTATGTGACCGTGATGGGTAAATTTTCACTTGGAATCAGCAATCAGGACTTGAAAGTGGTTACATTACCTGACTTAAAAGTATCCCTTTAATCCTCGCGGGCTCATATTTCCTTGCTTATTGTTAAATCGCGAATACCGAATGGGAGTCTATAATTTCCTCCATACCTGGAGAGATTTTGTACACGGTAACTGCATTCAAAATGAAATATCTCGCAAGATGTGCTTGATTTTAACTTTGGTTTTCAAAACGCGTGAAAAGAATGTGAAAGGGACTGCGAAGTTCCCAGAAATCAATATAGGCTACGATTCCCGACTCACAGAAAATTAGGAGACAAAATGACAGTGGGGATCAAACGACAATGAACGTGTCGGCTGGTCAGCCAACAGGCGACGACCTTACACAAATTCATTAAATCAGTGAAGCGTCAGTTACGAGTGCGACATGGGACGGATTAATTGGGGAACGGCGGTATTGTCGGAATCTTGGAGGACTCTAACATACACAAAGCGTACGGCGGATGGGATGAAGGAGTTTGTAAACATCGGATGGTAAAATTTAAGGCGATTTCTTTATCAATACACGTGAAAATCTGACTTTCGAGAGGCAACCACCTACTCAAGTGTGGCCAGCCGAGCAGTCGTCGCATTAACTACTGTCATCTGCGATCAGTGAGGAATCTACTAATTATGATAAACATGTCGAAACATCTGAATGCTGTAGTCGTGCTGCGTCTACTGCTCTTATTCGAAATCAGTAAGGGAGTGAATTTAGATGATCAGGTTACTAACCTTCTGGTTCTAATGTTTCAACCTGAATCTTATTGAGATATCTTTGGCAAAACTCCTCCTTACCTCTCCCACACGGCTCATGGCACACGGTGGGGCCTTGTAGCTCAGGTGGCCAGAGCGTTGGCTGTACACTAACCTTCCCCTGCTGTCTTGGTTTCGAATCCCACCGAGATCATCGAGCTAATCACAGATGGGTCAAAATAAAGTGTTCAAAATCTGCGCCCATTCTTAACAGCAGCAGATTAATCGGTTAGGGTAATCAACTGGCGCCTGGGAGAGGACAGAGAGAGCGAACCCGACTCCGCTTCACATGGCACTTTACTCCATTCTTCAGTTTTGTAATTCTGACGCATTTAAAGCTATTATGACGCGCTTAACGTCGTGGCTCGCAATGTTGCCAACAGATGGTACCACTCAGTTCTCGCAGTCAGCTCTGCGTGTGTTGGTATTGAGTGGTCTACTTGTGGACTTAATCTGAATGCCTCTTTTTCGTGTGGCCTCTATGGCATCCTCGGGCATTTGAGATCCGGGCTACCCATCACTTTTTGCGAAATTTTGGTGTTGTGTGTGGGCGGATCGTGCGTGGCACGCGCAGACGGGCTGTGTTTGTTCTACTGGCCACTGCGCCCAATCTAAACATCAGATGTATGACTGGCTCGAATAGTCGGCTGAGGCCTGAGAGAAGCAGCAGAGAGAGCGACCGACTTGGGGGACTGCTCCCCTACGACACGCCCCTTAGCGTATATTCCCAAGTATAAAGAATCTGACGCGCTTGAATATGCCACTGTGAGCTAAAAGTCGTGGCTTGGAAGGCTATCAACTGACAGGATAACTCGGTTCTCTTCTCGGGACGGAGAATCAGGCTGCAATTACCTCTTCCTACTGTGGTCTCAATGGCACTAACCTTCAACTGGGATCCGAATCGTTCTACGTTATGTTTGAAAAGCTGGTTTATCGTACGCAGATGGGTTGCTTATCTTCCTTAGCCAATGCACCCCTGGCCGAATCTGGTCTCCTCAACTTTATCTTGACGCCGGGTTCAGGTGAGTAAGGGACAAGAGAGAACGGTAATATCAGAGCACGTATACTATCACTGTGAACTATTTCATGCACAAGTCATCGTACTAGTAAAAATGCGATTCCCAGGTGGAATATCAAAAGAAAGGATAGCCCAGTGATTAGAGGCGTGGACTTCTAACTAACAGGTCGCGGGTTCGAGCCTCGGGTATTCCACACATCGGGGTTGGGTATGACTGGCTGACGACGGCCATTAAGCCAGAAATGGCCATTCCAGTCTTCCTTGCCTTTGTCGGTAGTAACATACTGCCTAAAAAATGTGACATTCACCGGGAGAGGTGTATTGAAGGTCTGACATTTCGAGTAGACATTTCTTTTACTCATCTTCGTTGGATGGGTAAAAGATCGGTAGAAGAAACTTCCACTCGAAACGTCAGACCTTCAATTCACTTTTCCCGGCGAGCGCCTCCTTTTCTTTTGACAAGTCCTCGTCTCTGAGTCTGCATGCCGTGGAGATACTCTGGTTCGCGATGGTCGAACTGTCGCAAGAAACTATTCGTTTTTTGAACGACCAACCGATTTTCTCGCCCGAACCAAATCCACCAATTTCGGGTTCTTCATGAGCGAAAATATTCAGGTTTTAATAATGGACTTACATTTGCTGACTGTGATTACGGCAACCAATCGTTTGTGTGCTCGTTGACAATTCATCACGCATACAGATTTTTGGTTATTGCTGTAATGGTATGCACTTTAGGATTTCGAGACCTAATCTATGGCAAATGACGTACTGTTTCAGTGGCGATCCACATCGTCGTCTATGGGCTCTTCAATGTCCAATTCTGAAGGCAACCACTGTGTGTTTATTTCGGGATTGGACATCGTCAGTGGTCGCCTGGACATTTATTTGTACGAGACAACACATGAGCTTCCCAATCACTTGTTACCGGACGATTAAGCTTTTCCCGGACGAAATATGATTCATAAAGGCAGACCTTTCCCCTTGTAGTATTTGGCAAATTACTTTATTATTTGAGTTAATTTTTGGAACTATTTTATTTTTGACAAATTGATCATCTGAGTGGCAGTTGGGCAGGCATTTAACACTTAAGTGCGGTTACTAAGCCCTTTGTAGACATGAAGTTCGAAAACTCTCCATTAGTGTTTTTCTGTAAAACTGACATATGTAACGTGTGAGATGCCCCATTAAATGCAATCGCATTCTCCGATTTGTAACCAACGTTTTACAAAATGCATGTCACCAAGATTATTCTTAATCGCATCCGACAGGGGATACTTATGGGGCGGTCCAAGGACCAGAAATGTTTGTTTAAACCTTCCCAGCGCTGAGTCCTGATTGCAGCTAGCTCCTAACTATGCAGCAGTCCGTATGGGTTGTTGACAGTTAGCATGTAATTCAAAAACTCAACCGTTTGCGCAACATTTTTTGTGCGCATACTGTTTTTTTCCACGAGAACGTGGCAACAATTTTCCGTCACTGACGGAGGTCGTGGAAGCCTCAGGTTTTCTTGAGAAATCGACGAAAACTTAGCGGGTTCTCTTTTTTGTATTCATAGTTTTTCACTACCACTTCTACCGAAATGAGACAGTCATTAAGGGATCTAGACTACTGCATTTCTCGTTTGGGATTTAACTGACAATTTAGGTCATACTTGCAGACTAACATGGAAATTAGGTATCGCACTAAATGCCTGCTGTGAATGGTCCATGTTATACGTTTTAAGATTGCTTGTTGACAATCTTAGTGCATCCTCAGAGATTCAGTTGATAAAACGACAGCATCTATTTAACCATCACTAATATCGGTGTTGTCCTCAGCGCTTTGGATAATGGAATGGGTTTATAAATCCAAACTTCTGGTTTGGAAATTATTCTCCCCCCTGTGAAACTGGCATACATACACACACATATATGCACAAAGCAGGTGCCCCGTTGAGGATCATAGTACCGCTCATTGGATCGCCTACATATAACCTTGCCAAGTGGCTGTACAAGCACCTAAAGCACCTCACGAATGGATGGCAGTACAGCATCAACAACTCTCATGCTTTCCTTCAGAGGATCCAAGACCTTAATGTAAGCCCTGATGAATGCATTTTATCGTTTGATGTAGTTGCTCTATTTTCCTCAATACCGCATAACTTGGCCATTGAGAGCGTAGCTCGACGCCTAGAGGAAACTCCGATTGGCATTCCAACAGAGCACGTTTTAGACATGCTTGGGCTTTGTCTTAAGAACTATTGTCAATTCGATGGCAAGTATTACCAACAGGTCAAGGGCACCCCCATGGGTTCACCGATATCGGGCCTACTCGCCGAACTAGTCTTACAAAGACTAGAAGAAGTTGTTATTCAAGCCATCAGACCAAAAATGTGGCTCCGCTACGTAGATGATACCTTCGTAGTCATAAAAAACTGCGAAGTTGAACGACTGCACCAGAGTCTTAACGGTGTCTTCTCCGCCATACAATTCACACGCGAAGAAGCAACTGGGGACATCCTCCCTTTTCTTGACGTCAGTGTACAAAGACTGACTGATGGCAATCTCGCAACCAGCGTCCACAGAAAAGACTCCAGCGCCGAAATCATCCTCAACTACGGCAGTAATCATCCTGCGGCCCACAAAAAAAGCTGCGTTCGAACTCTTTTTCACCGAGCCTTTCGGTACTGTAGCAGTCAGTATCTACTTAAGAGAGAGCTAGCCTACTTATACCAATTATTCCGATCTAACGGATATCCGATTAGCTTCGTGAAAAATTGTCTCAGACGTCAGAGGCAACCACAAAGTCAGAGTCCAAGTGGAGAAGCGGCACAGAGGAAATATTATTCCCTGCCCTACATGCGAGGAATTTCTGAAGTGATGGCCCGACAACTACACCGGTTTGGCATCTGCATTGCCCACAAGCCGGCGTCCTCCTTACGCGCAGCACTATCCCGGGCAAAGGATCCCATACCCAAAGAGCAACAAAGTAATGTTATTTACCGCATCCCGTGCGCTAACTGCCGTTGCGTTTATATTGGTCACACGGGTCGACAACTTGGGACTCGCATTAATGAACACAAGTTAGCTATCCGCCGACGCGACCCCTTGTCTCTCGTGTTTGCCCACGCTCTTGATTGTGACCACCGTTTCAATTGGGACGGTGCCGAAGTGGTCGCCATGGCTAACACTAAACATGCGCGGGAATTCCTCGAAGCTTGGCACTCCGGTGCAGATAGCATTAACCGCCATGTTGACCTTGATGTTCACTACGAGGGTCTCCGATCACGGTGGACTGACTGGCGCCCACCTTAAGAACAACAACAACTAATGCGTGCCCGGACATGCATGATCTCGCCGACACGCCATTCCTACCACCCTGCCCTACTCCCCCTCCCTCCCTCAACACGGTGAGCCACAGCTTGGACCCACAACACCTATCCTCACCTCCCGCACCCATCACAACACAATGCACACCTCCCTCTCACAAGGTCGTCTGCTTACCTCTCTGTCTGCGTCCTCAACCAGCAGTGTGACAATGCCACCTCTCACTTTTCACTCTGTCTGACGACGGGTTGGTGCAACCAGCTCGAAAATTTACGAGTAAAACTCTATTTCCGACGGACTTCCTTCTTTCATCACACACATATATATATATATATATATCTATAGATAAGGCGAAAATGCTGACCCCGGTTGTTCAGACTAAAGAAGATGGTAAGGCAAGCTCTGGGGATGACGATTTATTCATCTCACCATTCACACTCGTACTCGAGCGCATCATCGGAGATAGAGAATATGGGAGATACCCGATCCAACTATGTCCTTCCTACTAACTCCTGATAGAGCCATCAATTACTATCCTCGTTTGGCCTCCTCTGAGGTTTAAGTGGTGTAGGGCGTCCTCGAATGGTGCCGGTAGGTCGATGCTGAGGCTGATGGAGTTGACGTCTGTTTGCCAGGCCTCAGTCATTTCTCTCGCCGATCTGCTTTACGCTCGGCCGCTCTCTTGGGCACCGTCAGTGTCAAACCGATTGTCATTTTCCAGACTGTGCAGGCAACCTGTGATCGCAAACCTTTTCGCTTCACGACTAAAGTGTGCTCATGCATGCGCGTTCTTGGTCTTTTGATGGTCATGCCGCAGTAGTCGACCTGACAGTCTAGACAACTGACGCGGTAAATGACGCCTGTCGTGTCCTCGTTGGCCGCATGATTAAGCGGCGGATAGCGACCTTCGGCCGGTGTCCAACGCCCACGTTGAGTAGTTTTAACACACGCTCAGTGGCCTCGGAGACGTTCCTCGTGTAGGGCAAGACAGAGAAGACTTCAGATTTTTGGTTTTGCCCACCGTCAGTATTTGAGTGCCTTTGGAACAAACACTTGTTTATGAAGCTACGTGGGTATCCGTTGACGAGGAAGAGGTGCCACAGGGACGCACGGTCATGTACCTCCCCGGCCTCTATGCTGCAGTGCGTATTGATACGGCGAAAGTGTCCGGACACGACTGCGTTAATGTGACAGGGGTGCTTGCTGTTGTAGTGGAGTATCTTTGTGTTTCGAAAGCACCTGCCTTGGCACCCGCATGTCAAGGAAAGGAAGCCCCCGTCCTTTTTTTCCTCCGTGGTGAAATTGATTTGCGGGAAGATGGAGTTTAGTTTTCTTTTTAAAGGCCTCCTTCGCATCTAGGCGCAGAATGACAAAAGTATCATCCAAATAGGGAATCCAGAATTCGGCTTATAGGATTAAATACACGGATTTACGGTTCCTGCAGAATCGCCTCTGTCAGGTAGCCAGAGATCGGGTATTCCATCGGGGTTCCCTAGATTTGCTTATAAACATGGCCATTAAACGTGAAATACGTGCATAAGCAGTAGTCCAGTAGTTCAATCGCATGCTTCCTTTTAAAAGATTTTCGATCATCGTCGTACTTTCGTTCCATTAGGTCACTGATGACTCTCATGGCCAATTCCTTGGTGATTGAGGTAAATAAAAAAAACGACGTCAAAGGATACCATGATCTTATCAGGGGAAATCAGGGAACCCATGGGTTTAGTAGCCTGACGTTTCAAAAGCAAGTAAGCCCTCATCGACGGAGGTAGATTCTGTACAGCACCTCACAGTCTTTTTGGGTACGGAGCCTGTCGAGGTGCTGTTGTCTCTTCTGTTATTCGTGAAGGATGTGCCGGGAAAGCGAAGTTACTTGCTGTCATGCCAATCAGTACCTTTTCTCCTCGTTAGGCAGATGTGACAAGATGGCGACAGTTATTGATCTCGTCTGTATTGTCCGCATGTGTTGTACCTGACTCACGTATCTCGGAGCTGTCCTCAGTTTGCGTCTGTCCGTGTGCGTGTCCTCAGTGATCACTGAGCAGTTGCCGGTGTCTCCTTTGCTATTGGGCTGGTGACCCTCGTCATCGGTAGTTTTTTCCAATTGTTTGCTGTTGGGTTTTGTTGCTGACTTTCGGCCCTCGATTCCGTTGATTGCGATGCATTCGTAAGGCCTGGAAAGCAGCCGCCAGAATCGTGCAGTGATTTATGGAAGTGAGTACGATATGCTAGGGTTCAAGTGTTTCCCTGGCTGCCTGGTAGATACTTCGGCCCAGGGTTTTGTCGCTCTGGAAAGCAAAAGTGTGTTCAGAGGCAGCATAGTGTTCTGCTACCTGCTATAGCTGATCCATCCTTCCCACTGCTTTTACGTACTCACACATGCAGGTCTGTTGCAGTATGTTATTACCGACAATGAAAAGGCATACTGGAATGGCCATTTCTGGCTTATTAGTCGTGTCAGCCAGTCACACCCAACCCCGAAGTGTGGAATACCCGAGGCTCAAACTCGTGACCTGTTAGTCAAAAGACCACACCTCTAGCTACTGGGCCACTAGCCCGTTATCCTGTCGGTTTCGATCGGAAATATACAATAGTAGGGGACGCTCACCGATCGTTCTTACGTATGTCACTCGTCCCGTTGTGCCTTACGAGCTCTCTCTCGAGCCCAACAAGCGGCCGTACAGTGGCGCACGATATAGGCAGTAGGTTATTATCGACAAAGACAAGGGATACTGGAATGCCCATTCCTGGCTTATTAATCTTCGTCAGCAAGTCATACTAAAACCCGAAGTGTTGAACACCCAAGGCTCGAGGTCTGTTGCTGTTTTCCTGTCTCCCCAACGTAGTTCGCCTCACAGGAACTGAACTGGACACGATAGACGATACTGGTCGTTTTGTCTCGTGACAGATTAACTTTGGGTCTCATGACCTGCCGCCTTATTGTCACCTCAAGCCTGTAGGTGACGTCGATCCCCAGAGGTTGTAAGAGACGAACGACTGCTTCGAATATGCTATCGATATATGGCGATACCCCCCACACTTTTGATTGTTCTATCGTTGGCCTGATAGCTCTCTTCGGTTGTCTGCCACGTTCTATGAAGTTCGACTGCTTTGTCGTCTGCCCCTTAGCAATGAGTTTCCATTCTCTTGTAAATAGTTTGCACGCCGCTACTTTCTTGGCACAATGGGTGATTAGTGTTGTAATTTAGGACCTAACATGTGTTGACAGCCTTTTGGTAGACCGTTGTCATTAGCCTCCCGTCGGTCTTACGGTGGATCAGGACGTGTAGGGACGCCAGTTGATTGTCAACCGCTGCCGCCATTGTGAACTGAATGTCCGGAAAAACAGGATTCAGAATCCCATGAAATTCAGATACCATCTCCCGCTTGAGGATGAAGAAGGTGTCGTCTATGTGCCGCGCCCAAAATATTAGTCTGTAGTTGCGAACACCAGCGTTTCTAACTTCTGAAGAACCGTTTCAGTAATATATATGCATATTATGACAGATGGGCGCACACCGATCAGGTTATAGAGCATGCTCGTTCTAGTCGCTGTGCGACTGCCTGCGAGGGTTTAAGTATGAGCCCCAAGGCACAACAGAACGAGCATGATCTGCAACCTGATCGGTGTGCGCCCATCTGTCATAATTGATATTCCCGATGACAACCGACAGGACAACGGGCCCGTGGCTCAGTGGTAGAGCGTCAAACTCCATGACCAAAGATCCCGGGTTCGAATCTCAAGTGATCCACACTTGGGGTTGGGTATGACTGGCTGATGACGGCTAATAAGCCAGAAATGGCCATTCCGGTCCCCCTTGTCTTTGTCGGTATCACCTTATCAATATATGCATATATTGAAAACGGGCATCCCAATAGATGTAATTAGGGGGATGAAATTCTTTGAAAAATAGTAAACTTTTTGTGTAAATTTTCGAGACTGGTTCCCCAACTCGTCTTCATACAAAGGACTTGTAAAAACGATTAACTTCTAGACCGAGTCTGACAAAGGATTCTATGATTGGCTAGAGTTCCCTTCTCTGGATTGGCTGAGACAGTTTTCAGTCTGTCCTTAACACAACAAAGTTTACTGTTTCCCAAAGAATTACATCTTCCTAAATATATGTATATAATGTTAGGGGGCGCTCACCGATCGGTGAGTGCCCCCTAACATTATATATTCCCGATCGAAAACCGACAGAGCAACGGGCTCGTGGCTCAGTGGGTAGAGGCGTGAACTTCTAAACTAACAGGTCGCGAGTTCGAGGCTCGGGTGTTCCACACTCCGGGCTTGGGTATGGCTGGCTGACGACGGCTAATAAGCGAGAAGTGGCCATTCCAGTCTCCCTTGTCTTTGTCGGTAATACCGTCCTGCCTATATATGTATATGTATACAGGCTGAATAGTGGTGCCGATAAGGCCAAGGGAACTGGAATGGTTATTTCCGGTTTATTAGCCGTCGTCAGACACTCATACCCAACCCAGAAGTGTGAAACACCCGAGACTCGAACTCGCGACCTATTAGTTAAAAGTCCACGCCTTTATCTATTGGTGCACGAGCCCGTTGTCCTGTCGGTTTCGATTGGGAACATACAATGGTAGGGTGCGCTCACCGATCGTTCTTACGAAACTCACTCGTTCCGTACCATCGTATATTCTCGATCGAAACCGGCAGGACAACAAGCCCCTGGCTCAGTCGTTAGAGGCGTTGAACTTCTAACTAACAGGTCGCGAGTTCGAGCCTCGGGTGTGCCACACTTCGGGGTTGGGTATGAGTAACTGACGACGGCTGATAAGCTGGAAATAGCCACTCCAGTTTCCCTTGACTCTGTCGGCAATACCATTCTGCCTGTATCATGCGTCGCTGTACGGCTGCTGGTTGGGCTCGCGAGAGAGCCCGTAAGGCACAACGGAACGAAGGAGTACCGTAAGAACGATCGGTGAGCGCCCCCTGACACAGTATATGTATATATGGTAGTTATGCATTCACTGGTTAGGTTACCTGACACGCTCATCCCCTTGTGCATGTCTTGTATCCCTGTCTGTGAGCGCTCTTTTACAATTGTTCCTATAACATATCACATCCGACAGGATGACCAGTCCGTGCCTTAACGCGTAGTGTTGGACTTTCTAACGCTCGATAGCCAATGTGTGCTCGAATCACAGGCACCCCAAATCAGGGGTTTGGTAAGGTTGCCTGAGGACGGCCACATCAATAACGACGACTGCCACTACTTGTTAGTCAGAAATGGTCATCCTAGTCGCACTTTTATTTTTCGGTAGGTTCTTGGAGCTTCAATTCAACATGCTCATTTACCTGGCCCATGCTGACTTAAAAAAACTACTGTCAGATCTGTGTTTGCTGTTCTCGTGAGCTTTTTTGCTCGCATCTAGAGAACGTTGCGCAAACACGCAGGCTTTGTCTTTGATAGTTCCTAATTAAGGACATTGCCCTGATTTAAGCGAATGTTGAATTTTTGCAAGCTAACGTTTTTTCGCAACATGTCAATGCAATAAAGGAAGTTATTTTTGGGTACAAGTCCCTCCAGTCATTGGCATTTCAGTCGTATTTTTCCATCAAGTGAGCTATTTACGGTAATAACTTGGCCATTTCATTAATATTGCCGTTTTCCAACCCCAATGTGTTTCCTAACTGGCATTTAGTTCCCGTATGCTTCAGAGTTGGGCATGGCATTCATACCGATCGGGCTCATCTTGATCGCATTCCAAGCTCCAACCTGTTGTGTATTTTCTACTCCCTTTTAATTTTAGTTAATTGCTCAGACATGCAGACGAGAAACTGGAATTATCTACACAGTGCGTCATTCCATTCTTCTGCAAAAAATGATGTTTTCTGACTTCTGAATTACGTCACGCTTCTGAAAAAATCTACTCAAAGAAACTAAATGATCTAGGAACTTAGCTGAGAACTTCCAGCTTGGTGTTTTTTGGAAATTATGTTTTCGTTTCCAGTCGTTGGTCAGATAGCACACTGCCAAAACATCTTCTAGTATAAGACTTCCAATTACTGCCTAGGCGGAAGAACGCATTCGTCTTATCTGCCTGCGCTTCTAATAAACGTCGCAAGATGTGGCTTTCAGTTGGCATCTTCGGAGCCTGTTTTCTGTGGATCACAGTTCAAGGTACAAGCCGATGTTGTTCAGTGACAAACTAAAGTCAATATCATGTCAATGCGGGTTGATTTGCGCACGCTAAATGAGAACGTAGCCGCAATCCTTTTGCTGTCGTATCCTCTCAGAAATGTCTCTTTGAGAATTGCCCTAACATGGCGTGCTCAAATGATAAACTTTTGACAACTGCTTCCCTTCCTTGGTTGCTTATATGCGAGTGTTTTACATTCCAGGCGAAGATGTGCTTCTAGCTAACGGGCTGCCTACGGAATGCGGAAAACGACCAGCTCCCCTAAAGGCACCTCGTGATTACAATGGAAAAAAAATTGAAGCCACACCAAACAGTTGGCCGTGGCACGTAAGTCAATGAAACTGGCAGGGAACAAGTTTACTTTTCCTTAAATTTCACTCCTTGTTGCTATTCTACAGTCAATGAATGCAACTACACCAGGTGTGATAATGAGAAGTCAAACGCCTTCAAAAACTAGACGTGACCAACTCGTCCATGTCTAATGTGTAAAAAGCTAGAGAAATATGGCGCATGGTGATAATTTTAGTTGATAAAATAGTATTTACCTTACAACGCGCGAACTCTGATTAATTTTACGCGGCTTTTTGGCTTTAAGTTTGTTCTTCGCTTCACCAAATCGTTCACGACCGTTCGAATAGTATGGCAAGACGCCTTAATGCAGCCAGCGACCAGTCTCCTATAATGTTGACCGAAATTTTGAAATGCGTTTTCGATTAGGGAGGACTACATTGGTAGGATTGTAATTCTGATTATCGAGCAACGTAACTTCTGAAGATTTCAGACATGTCAGAACGTTGGCTTTAAAACGCACATCCTTTCGGTTGCCTCAGACCTTTTTCCGGCAAAAATGGCTACTAAAGTAGAAGGTATTTTTGCATTGCGTTTTCGATTAGGAAGGATTGCTTAAGTGGGTTTGTACTACGTTTTGCCATGCAACGTAAATCCGAAACATGTCAACATGTCAGGAGGTTGGCTATTAAATGCACATCCTTTCGGTGGCCAGCAAAACTTTTTCCGCAAAAATGGCTATCAAAGTAAAAGGAATTTTTCTATGTTGATTTTCCATGCTCTTATAAATTAAAATGCATTTTATAAAAAACCTAAGATGCACAGGAACATTATTTTTTACATTTGTTTAGCAGAAAAGCCCTTACTTTTAAAGGTATTGTCAAAAGGAAGATTTTTTGGGATTCCAAAAGGTTTTCCACTCCCGCATGTTTGTGAACTCCATCTGCTGTTGCATTTATATTAAGGATTTTCATTCCACAAGTTATATACCTATCATGTATTATAATACATCCATGTATGCCATTAAGGCTACCTATGGGTTTTTTAAAATATGTAGTGGATGCTCACTGAGTCGCATACATTATAAGGAACATTGGTAAACATATAGATACGAGGATACTGAAATGGGCATTGCATTGTCTTGGAAAACTTTACCATTAAAAAAATTTTGAGACCGAATGACATCATGTTTTCGAACATAAAATCTGAAAATGTGATTTCCTACAAAATATGTACAAAAAATATTTCTGCACACATTCCCCATTTAGTTGACCTTTCCTAACCGAAACCGCGTTCCAAAATCTCCAGCAGCCTCTTATAAGATCGGTCACTGATTGCAAACACAAATTTTCAATTCAGAAGTTAACCATAGCAATATTCTTTTGTGTTTTCCTTAAACCGAACTCTACCATTTATCAACTAATTCAGTCGCTTGCTGAAGAGGAACCTCCAGCACATCTATGTGGGTTTCGACGTCTGCTCATCGTTTCGTTCTGACCGATCAATGTAAATTTGCTCCATCTGACTAACTCTTTTTCTGTCAGCGGCTGATCAGCATAAATTCGATCTTACGTTTGCAGACCAACATTATTCTTGGCTCGTACTCCAGAAAACAAGTATATAGCAAAGCACATTATCATTCACCTGAAATACCTCATGGTCAGAGTATTTTGGGACATTGATTTCGAGCTACGTTTAGGTTGTGCAACGTTAGGATACGTTTTTGCAATTTGGACGTCGGGAAAAGTAAACTCAAATAAATCTTCTGCGAAAACAACCCATTTAAATATGAGCATTTACGCACCCTCATAATGCCCGATGAACTTCGACCGAGCATGTACCGCATTCAAAAAGTAACTCCTTACTTCAAAAAACCACGCGATCTGCGTCAACGTCTAGGTAGTATGTGGTTTAGAGCGTTTTTCCAATAATTGATTTGACGCAATTTGCTTGACTTTTTAGTCGACGTCTCACTTTACGAAATTTGTCAACCTTGCCCGGGTTATATAATGGAATATTTTAACAGCTGCAGTCTATAGACAGAGATAAAAGTGCTTACGGCAGCTTTGTTTGATATTCCAATAGGTTGGACTTTTCAGCTCGGCGTATGGTCCATATCCATTCTGTGGAGGAACTCTCATTTCACCTACGTGGGTGTTGACAGCCGCTCACTGTGCCGTTCCGGCTCATCTGTGCGTCGATGCCCCCCGCGGGCAGCCCTTCCAATATCAGGACTTCAGTGACGATGAACTGGTTGTCCGCATAGGCGACCATAATCACACACGGCGCGGGCGTCCGGCATACAGTGTCCGAGTACAACACATTATCATTCATCCAAAGTACCCCAAGGATGGACCAAGCAAAGGCTATGATCTCGCACTTCTAAAGTTGACTCGAACTGTGAGGCGCTGTACGTTTTATCATTGCTTGCGAATTTTGCCATAAAATTTTTCCAATGGTATGCTGTTCCAGGTGACTTCATCGTTATTTTCGCATTTTGTTCAAAATAGTTGTGTTTGTGATCATGTATATGCATATTTGGGACCTGTCTCCCCAACAACGCTAAAACCGAAACAGTAGGAGGCAAACACAAATCTGTCTCAATTTCAATACAAATTTTTCCGTGGAAATACCATATTTACTAACCATAACACCTATTAAGTCTTAGACCGTGGCAAGGCCGTCACAATGACTCCATGATCTCATGGAACGCTATAGGTCTTAGTCTACACCGTTAGAAGTAAAATATAGGATAATTACTTTCATATATTTGTAGTTTGAATGGCGATTTTTGATTCAGATAACCTGAATGAATTTTCGCGGGATGATTATAGATTAAATTCCAAACACTTCACTGCATGAATCCGGTGTTCAACAAGTAATTCATTTTCCATTAAAATTGAAATTCCCTTCAATACTCAAGATTAAACTCTTAAAGAAAATCATTGGACTGGAGTAAACTTAAGTCATCATAACAACTTTGTGTAAAAGATCGATTATCTTAAGAGGAATCATATATTTTGTAAAAAACTTTTTAATGCAACTAAGGGATGCTTCTCATTCCTTCGTTAACAAAGCAAACGTTGCGGAATTCGCATGCCTCCCTGAAGCTGGATTCGAAGTTCCTGTTGGAGACTTCTGCTATCTTGCCGGCTGGGGACTAATCCCGCCACGTAAACCAGGTTGGAAGCAACCAGATGTGTTAATGGAAATACGAACACCAATCGTGAGCTCGTCTAAGTGCAAGAAAAAGCATATCTATGTTGACAAAAGTCTTCATGTTTGCACCGACACCGCGTGTGGGGTAAGCACCAATTCGACATGATTTGCAGAATAAGTGTACGAAGTTTCATAATTCCCTTTTTTGACAAATTCAGCCCACATGTACGGGTGACAGTGGAGGAGGACTGCACTGTGTAACGAAAGATGGCAAATGGATTTTATACGGCGTAGATTCCTATGGTGCCGCTAACTGCACAGGCGAATACAGCGTTTATGCCCTGACTGGATCTGCGCTCGGGTGGATCAAGGACACCATCACGACCAAAAACTAAAGAATTCTGTTAAATTTGCATGAAACATTTTGTACCGAGATTTTCTCTGACGTGTAATTTGTCGTGACATTTTTGTCCTAAGTTCATAAATAAAGAACGACTTAAAGCCTGGAACAAACGAATACACAGATGCAATCAACAGAGTGATTACTGCTTTGACCGAGAGAACCAGCAGATTAATGTAATTTTCTTTTTCATGTTTTGGCTTTAGTCTTTTGGTACCGCTGCTAATTTTAACGAAGTATATCACCCAAAAAACAACTGCGCGTGCTAGTTGCAAATATGGCAGACAAATGTGAAAAATCAAGCGAAATACGCCAGCGAGAGTAACGGACAAAACACTAAAGTAAGGTTTCCTGAAAATACACTCCGAAATGTGAACCACGTCTTTGATGTGAGGAACTTTGAAATAAATGATTTAAAATTGGATGAGACAGTTGCTATTCTGCCTTGATACCGTCATATTAACGATATTCTTCTGGGCACCCTGCTACTGCTATCCATTCAGTAAACTAATAACACGTTTACAGTCGAATGCCACGTTATGCCATGTCACAAAAAACTGTTTCAGTCTTCATGCTGATACTCGTGAAAGTAAGTATGCTAACTGGCGATTAGATCACAGTATTTAGTACTGTTTTAAAACGAGAAGAAATATGCCCGGGCTATCAAAGATGGGAACTCGGTCGAAATAATATGTGTTGGAGTGATGCCTCGCAGAGACAAATTTATCATATTAATGAGCTTCCTGGAAGTATGCTAAGCAGATCATTGTCAGAATGCCACATGTTTAATGTCAGACAGAAATTTAATTTAGTTGTCAGTCAGTCGTGCATGCACTATGTGATTTTGTTCCCTTTTGGCTGTCTCGGGTTCGAAAATTTTTCGTGTTATCAGTCGAAAGTACAGTAGGCAGTTATGTTGTAAGTTGCGGTTTCGGAAAGAAGAAGATTGATTTATTTCTTACTCCCCACACAAACTAATACAAAAACTTCAGGTAAGTCCTTCGGGATGGATTTTTTCAGGTCCGGTCTTTAAATTGATTGGAAGGTTATACTACATTCCTGATGAGTGGTCGACATTCTCACCAAAATGAAACGCCAATATCAAAGATCCCTCCCAGCATACCGTGCAGTTTGGAGTCGGCAATTCGCGAGTTATCCTTGATCTATTGGTTTATCCAGGAAAAATTTAGCTTAATGTTTGTTATTCGCAAAATTTTCATCAACCTGTGGTCTGATCATCAAAAATGAATGCGCGCAAGACAGCATTTTTAAACTCCAGAATGAGACCAAAATAAGCATTTCTATACACAGTGCCTCTGTCGCCTTAGGTCTTGGGGGTGTGTTGTGTTCAAAAGTCTCATTTGTTCTACAGATGATGATTAACCAGAACAAGAACTTACCACAGAAAACAGTCCTAAAATGCCAGTGGAATTATAGCAGTTGTAAAGCATGAAACATCCTCTGTAATGTCTTTAGATGCTGTCTACTTTGTTAGCTTGAAGCCTCCCAGGGCAGCGCACGACCTACGGCTTATTCCCAAAAATTATCGAGGGCCGCAACTTCTACCCCCTGCGGAGCATCGAGCTAAGGCCATATTTTGTTTAAGCTCGTTTACATCTTACTATGGTATTAAAGGTTACGAACTGGGGGGTAAGACAGATGCAGTCTACAAAAGTCAGTAGAGATTGATGACTCCTGCGTATTTAATTTGATTAGAATAAAGCGGATTGTTTCATCCGCCTCAGTCCTCTTTCCTACGTTGATCGCCTTTCGGCAGAAAAACGCAAGTCAAGCCAATACACGATGCAGCCCAATCAAAGGTCACATGTGGTTACGTAGCCCCACCACAAGCCCAACTACCTGTAATACGGGACCGGTAGTAATAGTTTTTACATGTGGAGTCGGGGGACGCACAAGCGACGAAGTCACGTAGTTGTATGCGCAGTTGCACTTTGAGTGGTTGAGAAATAGTTGCCCTAACCCTTGACCCTGATCCCACACCCTAAACCCTAACCCTAACTTCAGTCCAACAGTACTGTGTCCATCAGGTGGGTTACATACCCACATCTTACCGAATTTTTTTCAAAGTCCCTCTGGTTTTCGGCCTGCATCTGGCTCTATCGGGTCGACATGAGTGCATACCGTATAATTTAGAGTATCCCTTTTCATGCAAATGCGCGAATTTGGAAGAAACCAAGGGAAAGAGGTGCGTCGATCCCCAGCCGGTCTAAGCGGCGATCTGGCCACATCAGTGCCGCCTGATATCCAGCTCAGTAGTATGGAAGTCAGCGCTCTCTTTTGGGTCTGCGGTTTGACTGGGGGATTCTGCTTCTGATTACTTTATGTCATCGACAGTACATGAAGAGAGTGCGTCCATGACCCGGTTCGCTTGCCTACAAAAATTATTAAAGTCTGACATGTAAGTCTTGTCACTTTTCCTTCGAACTTTCAAATGACTCTTTATTTTCTGGACTATTTCAACAGGAAATCTTTTGTCATGTGCATTAAGAAAAATACTGTTTTTTACAGCAAAACACAATATTCCACTACTTTGCCCTCGATGGCAGCAAGATCCAACTTGCAGGTTTAAATGTTTTGAAGGCGTTGCAAATGCAATGCGGTCCGTTATTTCATTTCTCATGCAAAATGTAATAATTCGATTTTGCCCTGGAGACTTTGTTGGGTCATTCGTAACTTGGAGCGTAAGCCTTGCATATTAGCCTTGCCGACTTTTTTCATTATAATCACTGATGCTGTCTGTAGGCAACAGATGACCGCCAGCTCAATGTTGGCAGGATAGTAGTTGCAACGGATGATTTTTATTCGCTCACCTGCGAGAACTCTTTCGCCGGCAGTTATCTGCAGCTTCATATTCGATCATCGGACTGACTGCACATCCAAAATGCGGCAGAACTAAGTTTCTACTCCTGTCTCCCCTCCAAGGCAATGAATCGCCGTAATCTCGAGAAAGTGTCCCCTTGCTTTAAGGGTTACTTCCACTGAAAAACTCCACTGGGTCTTTTCTTTAAAGCTTTAAAAATTTAGTCTAGATATTTTAAGTCTACCTTGTGACTGCCAACGCAGTTTCATATAAATTTATTTTGGCTACCACCCGGTTTCGTTGGCCATCCCTCCACCCTCATCGGAGACCTAATGACAGATTCCACTGCACTGCGTCAAAGTCCAGGCAAATATCACACTGGCATGTTCTGCAGGACGGGTTCCTTTGTCCCCAGCTCATCCCCAGCCATCTGTTTCCTTGACGCGATCAAACTTTTGTCAACAGCGAAGTTTTGTTGCTCTCAGTCACGCCATGGTTCATTCAAAACTCATTCTGGCAAACAATGAGGTGCACACTTTCTTTTAGAAACCTCAACAACAGTACAGTCTCCACCCGTAGTAGGGGCGCGGTACCAAGGTCTCCTGTAAGACGAGAACGGTGGTACTAGAGGTTTTACGGGTAGGGCACATTCGACATAGCATAAAATGGTCAAAGTAATCCCAAAAATAATACAAAACATGCAAAACTAAGGCTTTGAGGTATACAGCGTCAGAAAGCGGGCGGTAAATGGAAAGTAAGAAGAAGTGTAGGTAGGTGGGGGACGGAAGTTACCGAGGCGGCAAAGACTGACTAACGAAAAAAAGGGAACTCCTCCTCAACCAATGGGAACGCCTGTGGTGCTCTCAAGGTCATAGCGCAAACCGTGCACTGAAGTCAGCGCGATGGAAGGCCGCCAACAGCAGCAGGCATTTGCAGATTCTGAGATAAGTCGTGGCCTCACCCCCAACAAGGCTACTAATTCATCCTTTAAGACGTAAAACGTAATTTTTATCCCCAAAAGCCTGTTGGAAGTCAAATGAATTAGGGGCAGGATGGGATCTACGGGGAGAAATTAATTATTCTCTGAAGTCCATGTCGGAAAATAAGCTAAAATATAAGGTTTAACGACAAAAACGCTAATTTTATCCACAAAAAAGACTAGCCGAAATAAAATGAAAATGCATCACAAATTGAAGAAAATGGGATAAGGTAGAAATCTAGAACTGAAACACTAATTCATACCCCCTGAAAAACCAGAAGGGATAAACAATAAAAGATTTAAACTTGAATTCCCCGAAATATACATGAGAAATTTAGATAATTGTTATGAATACAAAAGCGGTATGGAAACGCCAATTTAAACCGTCAAAAATTCATGCAAAGAAACATGATAAGCTAGAATTTGGGATCAAAACATTAACGTCTATCTCAGAGTGTTTGACTTAAGTTAAATAAATTGGCATTAGATAGAAATTTACCAGGGGAGAGTTAGCATTCACTTTCAAACGGTACATAAGACATTGAAATAATTAGGACTAGTTTGTGAGTGGTTTATATACCTGGCTCAGTTGGCATTGAAAATAAAGGTTTCCGCGCCTCTCTGCTGATAAAACTTATCATGTCGAATAAATTAGGCTTGAAAAATGTGTGACTGCGCGTCTGAGTACAAACGATGCATCAGGAAGGTAAAACGTTCGGGATTGATTCTACTCCATTGCAGTCAAATATCTAAGAGTCCACAGTGGAGGATGAGTTCGCAGGTTGGCAAGCCTACGCACTCTGCGGAAACGAAAAATGACAGTTGATTCCCCCGATGTGGTGGACTATTGCTAACGAAACGGCTTGTTATCATGAACCTCGGGGATGTCGATGCCGACGGAGTATGACACTGCAAATACTGCGTCAACACACTGACGGTACTGTGTTCTGCTGCGGCAACTGCAAG